AAAGGCATAATATTGGAAAAATCCTGAAATAAAAGGAGACCTGAATCTGCCGAGTAATAGAACACACAGTGTTTCAGGAAAGAAACTGAGTAAAAATGACCACTGGCAGATTCTTCTGCTTGGCCAAAGTTTGATGAGGCTCCTGAAACTTCTCGGCCCATCTGTAGATTGCCGCGTAAAACCCAGTTTTAGTAAGAACTTACTAAGTCAGGAATCATAATGTGTAAGAACCCTACTAAATAGCATAAAGCTATTTCTATTTACCCATACTTCCTTCCTTTTTGTGCATATACATGGAGAAATAATCTGGAAATAATGTTCTTCAAATGGTAAGAGTTTGTTATTTCTAGGAAGTACAGAAAAGGTTGGGTTATTTTTTGCTTTAGTTCTTGTATATTTTTTTTTCTGGTGTATTTATAATTTAATAGCAAATACTATATACTATTAAATTACTAAGCAGTATACATTGCTATTTTATAAAAGTACATGATCTATAAATAAAAGAGAATTTATGTAGTTCTAGCATTGGTATCATATAAACTCCACTTGTGAGTGGGTTTCAGGAGCCCTCCAGGGCTACTCTGTCTATTCTCAGAGTATCATACAATGTGCCACAGGGACCTAATCCCCCAGAAGGATACTGTGGCAATATCGACTTACTGTTTTATGAGCAACCTACTGTCTCACTCATTTTCCCTCAAGTATGAAATGCTACCTTCTTGCTAAGGCCTACTGCCAATTTGGTTAATGTCACAGAAACATGTAACACAAGTGGGGAAGGATTAGAGTTTTACTGATTTACTGGTGTTATCCCACAAAACAAGGACTTATTAAAATGGACATGTGTAAATACGAATGAACACACACACGCACACACACACAGAGGGATTATTTCTGACTGAAAGTAAGGACATCAGCTTTTATGTTCCATCACTACATTATTCTCTTGACATATAACTTGAACAGTGAGATTTGTCAGTGAGAAATTAAGTATAAAAATTCATGATTTTTTATTAGTATGTGTTGTTTGTACACAATGTTTACATTCTTTGTAGTGAATTGGTACATGTACATAATACATCTTAATTGTTTCTTTGCTGTTTTTGATGTATACATTTATGATTCATGGAAGAATAATACTGGCCTTTCTTATTTGGATTTCTCTGAATTTTTATCCCGTAACTTTTTTTATATCTAATGCATTTAAATATCAAAAAATCAATACAAATAGGTGCTATATACTCCAGGTGGGAAATAAACCATGATTGTATGGTCATACAATCAGAATTACATACTTCAGAAACATTAAAGGTAATAGATAAGTCTATTGAAAATAGTACATTTTTAAAATTGATAATCCTAAGGTAGTATTGCATCTTTCAATAATTTTTCTTGCTTCACATCTTTGAAAAGCAAACAGGCCATTAGAAGCATATATGATGTGCAAGACACTTGAAGTTTATGACTGAAATGGGCACAATTTTATTAAACTTTAAACGTATTTTAATGTGCTCTGGGCATAGTTTGTGCTGCAAAAGTATCATGAGTTGCTCACTCTGTAACTCACTTTAAAAATGAAATGCAAATGTCAGGTCAGAGCTGAGTTGGAAATCCCATTTAATTATCAAAATAACAGGAATGTAAAGGGATCCATGCTACATTTAGTCAAACGAGCTTGTCATCTCGGGTGCTAACATTATGAGCATCTATCTATAATTTCATTACTCAGGCTGGTAGAAATTAGATCCTTCCTGCCCTTCCAACTGAGGCTTACTAGCTGCATTTCTAGCGTCCCTGTAATGCTTGTGAGGGTCGGAAAAGGCACAAATGTAGCAGCTAACGAGGGTCAGCTCATCAGGACATGGAGATTTCAGTCAGATGCTATTCTAGAAGTCACACAGGCCTGGGATTGATGGATGTGAATTCCAGCCTTACCTCTGTCCTGTCCTACTTAGTCCCTTTGCTCTTTGGATCTCATGTTCTTTCCTTCCCTAAAATTTTAAAAAAATATATACAAGGAAAAGCACCAGTTTTCACTTATTCTTGCATAGGAAGGTTTGGGATTCTCCCTATATATTGTGCCCCTGACAGAGTTCATTAGTATGGTTCAAGCGGGTGAGGGAGGTTCTTGCCTTTCCAAAATACTTTCTCCCTTTGATGTGCAAGCTTAAGAAATTTTTCTTTTTGAGGCACTCTTTCAAACATAACGCTCCCTAGGCATGCAGGATAACTTGCTGTGATTCTGTAAAATTCTTACTGGATATCTTAGTGGGGGCTGTGATATGAGACAGTAAAACATTTCTGTATATGAAGAAGATCCTTAGTGCTGGAACTACAATGTCATTCTTGATTTTTTTCCTCCATTCATAAAAAAAATTAAACCATTAAAAAGGAAATACAAATAAAACTTCAGGGTATTTTATGCCTGAACCTCTATGCATGTGGCTTATGGAAAAACCAAGCAAATCAGAACCTTTTTTTTTTTCTTCCTCTATTCCACTTTTAAGATTCACAGCTCTAGGAAACAAGGGGAAAGATAGTAATGAAGGTACGATATGTTACTTTCTAGAATGTCCATTCTAGTGTGTGGCTAAATTTGAAAAGCCAAGTGGGGGTGGGAAGCAGCAGAGGGAGAGCTTCTCTGATAGCCTTTAAAAAACAGCATTCTGAACTTAACTGTAGATGAATTGAATATTTATATCATTTTTTAATCAATAAGAAGTTTTCTTTAGAAGGTACCCAACTGTGCCCTCTTTGAATTCCTAGAAGCTCTAATCTTACCAGAATAAATTTTTAGTCCCAAAAGGTATCTTGATATTCTCTACAACCTAACTGCTCAACCAAGTATATACTAAATGTCTCTGTATGCACCGTGTTTTATCCTTGAGAAATAAGCTGGTTTCACAGTGAGGGGATAGACACGCAGGCCCTGGAAAACTCTGTTTCCTTTGGAAGAGCGAATACTCATCACATGATAAATGATGTAGAAAAAAAGAATAAAGGTCCTAACTTAATGTTTGCATTTTAGCTCAGCAATTATGACAACGCAGGGCAGATAAAAATAATATCCACTTTTATATTTCAAGTGATTTGTCAGTGTTATACTCATGCAGTATTCAGAGAAAAAATTTCCCCAATAACATCCTGTTAACAGCTATCAGGGGAGCAACTGCTTGAACTTCAAGGGTTCAATATTTAGATATCCTCCAGCAATGATTCAGCACTCTCTTTGGAATTTTTCAAGGAAACAGACAATCATTATAAAGATGTCCAGCATTCAAACTGCTCACAGTAAAAAGAAAAAATATTTTTTTGTTTTATACATCTTATCCTAAGCCTTTGGTTTTATAAGCTTTCTGTCTTTCCTTCAGATGGAGAGTATGTGAGTACAGTAGGTAAAGTAAATTTATCCAGAGAAGTAAATTTTAAGCCTGGTTGACACAGAGGGAGGCGGCTGGAACTTCACCTGTCCTCCTTCCCTTGTTCGGGGTCCACTTTGCCAAGAAGTTTGCCAAGCTCCTGAGGCTCCACATACACCTGCATTCTAGAGCTGACTAGCAGCATAGGCATCAACCAGGAACACGCTGGAAATGCAGAACTTCAGGGAACACCCCAGACATGCTGCAGCAGAAACTGCTAGCTAAATCTTGGAAACAGCCCAAATGTCCATCAACCGGTGAACTGATAAAAAGACGTGATTTAAAAAAATATATACAAGGGAGTACTGCTCAGCCATAAAGAAGGATAAACTTGAGACATTGATAGCTACATGGCTGCACTTTGAGGCTATTCTCTTAAGTGAGATAAATTGGACACACATGTGTAAATACTGCATTGTCTTTCTGGTGAGAGAAACTGAAAGGGTAAATAAGGGAAAATGTATAATAGAGAATGTGAAATAGGAAGAAATTGTTCAAAAGAAGAGGAATTAGGGAGGTAGAGGGCAAAAAGGAAGGGAAATGAAAAAAAATGAGAAAATAAGGAAAAATTGCAAACAAAGCTTTTGTAAATAAGGAGGGGAAGTGAGGTTAAAGGGAGGGGATTGGGTAAAAAACAGCAATCAAGATACACCAGGTATAGGTACAAATTGCCTATGACAAATGTGATCATTGTGTATATTTAAATTGTACCACTAAAATTATTATATACATAAAATATCATAACCAAGATTCCCACTGATTTGCACTACCATGAAGTTTGATAAGCAATGGCTATATAACATGAAGGTTTGTACCAGAGATTCTCAGTGTAGTTGCATCAGAATCAGCAGGAGGGTATGTAGACCATGTACGTTTGGGTTTGTACCCGCACCAAGGCTGGGATAAGGCCTTAAGTTTTGTGATACTGATGCTCCTGGTCCAAGGACCACACACTGAGAACCACTGGTATTTACCATTTTATTTTTACTCCCTTACCTCCCACCATCTACCTACCTTTTGTGCCTGTCAGCCTGTTTCTTCCCTCCCCTTCCTACTTCTCTACTTTTCTTCCTCATCTACGAGGGAATGATAGAGTGGACATTAAGTTTCAATTTGCTATAGCTACTCATCTTTCACCTCATTTAAGGCTCTAAAGGTTACAAAAGTGATGGTCTTCAATTCTGTTCTTAGGTGTTGTCAGCTCCTTAGCACAGATAAGAGCAGGACACACATATCTAAAAGAAAAGATGGAATAGATGCGCTGAAGTATATCCAGATAAAATGCTAAGTCAGTAACAGAAGAGAATTGAAAAGCTCAGTTCCCTCACTTAGTACAATAAGTTTAACACATTCAGGACAGGGCTGTAATTTGTATGTCTCTCTGCCAGGTGGCTCTGAACCACCAGTGGTACACACACGGCTGTCTAATCAGTTGGTTGGCATGTGACAATCCTAAAGCGGTACTAGCCGCCTGATGGGAAAACCACACATGTTCTACTGGCGGCTTAAGCCCATGGGCCTATGTTAATCCCTCTGAGGAAGATCAGGGTTTGGGCAATCAATCAGGATGTACTGAATTAAAACTTTTAAATATCAGAATAAGTAACATCTAACTATTATCACTATAATCCTGTGTTCTTTGAGTAGAAGTTTTCAATTAGCAATAATTGCGCCTTGGATAAACCTCATTGGCTACAATACCGCCACTGTGCAAAGCGTTGAGCAGAAGTAATCTGGATTTTATATACTTATTCTATATGTCTAAATTTTGACAGCACAGAACAACGGGGCCAAATTTTAGTTCTTATATAACTGTCATTTGTTTCTTTCTCAAAAAGTTCAACTAGAGAGTTATGATTATAAGGGACTATTTCAAGTGTAGGTAACTGGGGCTTTAAGTGAATATGCCTTCTTTATGGCAGTATGAATGATATAAAATAATATAAAATGATACAAATATTGAAAAAAAATTCAGAAAATTGCTGTAACACGAGGAGGAGAGGACCAACTATTGTTTGTATGAATTTATTTTAATTGGTTAAAACATTAAATTTTAGACATCTCTGGATACACACACACACACACACACATTTTGGTACCAGGGATTGAACTCGGGTCCTTGCACTTGTGAGGAAGGTGGCACTGAACTAAATCCCTGGCCCTTTTCTGAATATATTTTTTATAAACCTTGGTAAAATCTACTTGTATTGAAATGTAGGGGAGAAAATAGCCCAGAGTGCTGGTTCAGACAGAAGGGGGTCCTTAGAAGAGAGAAACACAGAGCAACCTGCTCAGCTCATGGTCACTTTTCCATTCCCAATGGAGGAAATACAAAGCCAAGTTTTATTTTTCTTCTCCCACTGAATGCCGATGACCCATCTCAACCAGACCTTGTACATTACAAGGTCAGGCCAGATGCATCTTTATCACACAAACTAAAAGGCTGTAGGTACTTGTCCTTTAGCAAAAAGTATAGTTGGGAACAAACTTCTCGTGGGCTCTATCTGCTTGTTAAAATCCATTCAAAGGGCCATAATGAATGAATGTTTTGAGAAGTACCCAATAGGACACATTTATACTAGATCTGTGCTCCAACAGGCATGAGTCTAGGTAGGCCCAGATAGCAAGATTTGGAGCTCTGCTCAGTAGAGAAAGAAAGGTACATGGTCAAAAGGAAAGCTGATTCCAAGAGATAAGCCAGGAGCACAAACAAAATACAAATAAAAGAGTAGCAGGTACAAAGAAGCCAAAGGACCTAAATCTGCAGGACAGCAGGAGAGACAAAAAGAGAGGGAAGGGTTAAACCACAAGGGAGAACACACTTTGATAATGTGGCTCTGGGAGTTTCAGCTCTCTACAGTGTATTAATTCAGATGCATGTCAGAGAATTCTGTGGACCAACAGACAATACCAAGTCAAAAGAAAAAACAGGAGTTTTCCTAAGTGTGATGTTGGCAGAAGTTAGAAGGCATAACATAAAATCTTCCTGCATTTTATTAGTTAAAATTAGCCTTGCACAGATACTATAAAAAGATACCTTTTCAAGATGTTATGAAAACAGGGGAAGTTCAAAATGCAGATATGGCACTGAGTCCCAAGTACTTTTAATCTTTCATCTTGATAAGCTGGAAAGAGCTGACTAGCATTAAAAATCACCATGGATCACAAAACATGACACAACACACCTCAGGCAGGCTTATGATACAGAATATCGAAACTCTTTTGTTAGCCATTCTTCCTTGAAAAGAGGTCCAATTATATTTATTCTCTTTTGAATTGAGGCATTCTATGGGAGGAAACTAACCGGTTTTACTACTGTTTTAAACACAGCCAAAGCCAACCAATGAAAGGCAATGTCATGCTGGGGGTTAATATTATTAGTCTGTTAGGAAGACTGACTAAACAGATCTGGCTGAGAGTCAGTTCTGGATAACCCATAACAGTAGTCCCAATTTTGGAACTTGAAAGCTCTTAGACTTTATCTGTCCCTTTCTATTAAAGGAAACTGAGACCTTTAGAGCTGAACAACATTGCCCAGTGAACAGTTCGCTGGTGGAAGACAGAAGACTAGAACACTGGCTCTGTGATTACATTTCTTAAAAATCAGCATTTCCAAATGTTTTACTTGTTCAAGTGTAACATTAAAAATTTTGGTGACATCTGAGTAACATCCATACTTGATAATTCCTCTCAAAATATGAAAAGACACTTGAAAGCATGTACATTCATAGGAAAGGGAAATTTTCTATTACTGCTGAATGAAAAAACCTGGAAGGATGGTCATAAAATAACGTTATGAATTTGTAGTAAGATTCAATTGTTAAGAAAGCATGAGTAGCTCCCAGCCCAACTGCTGTTGCTCAGAAGGGAACCAGGACTTCATGTGTGCTAGGCAAGCACTCTACCACTGAGCTGAATTCCTGAGATACATCCCTATCTGACTTCCTGTTTCCAGTCATTGAAATTGCATTAACCCAGGAGGTTTAAACTCATCAAGATGAAGTCAGTCACTGACCCCTTCTGTTAGTTTCCAGCTCTAACAGTAGCTGACTATGGTTATGGATCATTAGGAAAAAACTATAGTAAAATCTATTGGAGTTCAGCTAGATTTTTATATTTATTAGCAAAGTTTATTTTTCAAATTGTCCCATCTTAGAGCTAAAGCTAGAGAGACTTTTATGACAAAGTATCAGACTTATAGATAACCTCTATCAATGAAACAATTTAAGACCAGCAGGTTCAATCACTACTTCAATTTCCAAGTGTGACTTTCTCCCCAACCTGCTCTTTTGTTCTAGTGTGCTCATGCTTACATTATGCATACTCTAATTTCTTAAAAGTTTTATTTATTCTTGTGTAGAGGCTGCCAAACTCCAAGAGGTCATAAAATGGAACCAATGACAAATGTGCTAGACTTCTTTTACCTGGATCCACCAGATTGACCTTGCAAACAGCTCATAACTGCTAAACTGTACAAAATGACCTCTATGTTGGATTCTGAAGTCCCCTGGACCTTCTCCTTATCCTCTTTGTGAGCTATATTCATAGCAATCCTGCTGACCTTATAATTTGGCCCTTGCATTCTTAACTGTTTCTTTGACTTTGTCTCCTCCAGACTTAAAAGCTATGCAGCTACCAAGATGACAATACCAGGCACCTGCTGAAGGCCTTCAGATAGACCCTCTGTAGAGTAACTCTAACTGCTGATCACAACTATGACCCTCTTCAGCTGGAAGTAGCCAGAACTGTCTTTGCCCTTTGTCCTCTCACAGCAGTTAGGGGTACTTCTTCAGAGGCGGAATATTGCAGATGGGTAAGTTAATTAGATATCTTGTAGGCAGTTAGAAAGGGCTGCCCTCAAGGAGCCAACACAACAAGGTGCCAACATGGAGGACAATCAAGACACATTCACTGAAGGTCAGAACTGTAAAAGGAGAGAAACTACTATATCCTTGTGCTTCCCCTGGGGATGAACAGCAGTGACTGATATTCTAAATAGGTTTCAATCACCTGGGTGGGAGGCCAAGGTCTCAGCCCAGCCTTTCCAGGAAATATCTCTGACCCCCACCCTTACTGAAAATCCTTGTATGCTTGCTATGTGACCCCCATTTAATCAATACTACCTGGGTGACTGTATTTGTAGTCTTCCTGGTTGGTCATGGTTTTGCCCCACCTCATGCCCACCTTATAATTTTCCATTGGGTCTTACAGTTTTGTCCCACTTTGTACCCACCTCACCACATCGTTTTGCTGTGTAAAACATCTTTGAAAAGCGGGGTGAGTGGACCACTTTCTGGTCCCGTTCTGTCTGTCTTGGGCAGAAGCTTTCTTTCCCTCAATAAATTTTTCCTACTTTAAAAAAAATATATATATGAAGAGACTGAAAATCACACATCACACCGAAGTCCAGAGCAACTTTGTCCCAGGACTTTGCCCTCTGGGCCAATGACAGCTAAGTGGGATGTGATAGTAAAAGAAAATTGTGCAATCATGACTTAATCCTTCTAGGATAAGGGACTATGGGCCAGTATCTAGTACCATTATAAGGTTGCCCACCATATTTTTGTTAAAAAAAAAAAAAGGCCCTTCTTTTCTTTTTCCATCCAAAGATCTTTGTAATGGTCATTTTTAGTGATTCATATTCCTTCTATCCACCTTGTTGATTTCTCTCTTAAAATAGTAACTAAGGACAAATGAGGATGAAAAGTCTGATAGTGAACCAACAGGACTCCCTGGACCCATAGCACAGGAGGTAACAAAATTGATCAATCAGGCTCTAGAAAAATTCAAATCAGAAATAATTTCCCAGCTAGCCAGAGAGATGATGAGCAAAATAGAAGTCATGATTCGAGACTCTAGAGCAGAAACTGACAAAAAAATAGATGAGCTCAAGACTGTGATAGAACCCTTCTGTCTGTCTTGGGCAGAAGCTTTCTTTCCCTCAATAAATTTTTCCTACTTTAAAAAAAAATATATATGAAGAGACTGAAAATCACACATCACACCAAAGTCCAGAGCAACTTTGTCCCAGGACTTTGCCCTCTGGGCCAATGACAGCTAAGTGGGATGTGATAGTAAAAGAAAATTGTGCAACCATGACTTAATCCTTCTAGGATAAGGGACAATGGGCCAGTATCTAGTACCATTATAAGGTTGCCCACCATATTTTTGTTAAAAAAAAAAAAGGCCCTTCTTTTCTTTTTCCATCCAAAGATCTTTGTAATGGTCATTTTTAGTGACTCATATTCCTTCTATCCACCTTGTTGATTTCTCTCTTAAAATAGTAACTAAAGCACTTATATCCTATGTGTGATTGCTATGATTTGGGTGTGGTCTAGTTCCCAAAGGTTCACGTGTTGGAACCCAGATGTTCACACCTGGGCCCTAGTGTGGCAGTGTTGACAGGGAGACCTTTAGGAAATGGGGCTTGCAGAAGGTCAACGGGGTCACTGCTCTCTGAAGGGATGAAGGTATCTCTCCTAAGAGTTGTGGTCAGAGTGAGCCTGACCCCTGAATTGCTATCTGGCTTCCTGTTTCGTTATAATCCCTTCTTCACACATGTGTGCACACCATAGTGAGTCCTCTGTTTGGCCCCCACAAACCTGTGTGGACTGCTTGATCTTAGATTTTGAACCTTCAGAACTATGAACTAAACTTGATCTCTTTTCCTTATAAAGTTAGCCTGCTTCAGGTAGTTTATTATAGTAATGCAAACAAA